TTGTGGACTGTGCAGGTCATTTCCAGGGAATTAATAGCCACTCCAGCAGCCACTTGGAGCTCTGTGTGGGAGATCTGGCCCCCCTCACACCCCAGCGTTCACTGAAGAAGAGGATGCTGTGGTAGAGGAGAATGGAGAGTTCTAGAATTCTACCCTGATAGATACTCTGCTCCTAGCGTGTGGGGGTGAGTTATTAGTTAGCTCCAGAAAGGCAAGGCAGGGTTTTTCTCACTTTCAGGAGGGAGGAGACTAGAGAAAGAGCTTCTTCAAAACAAATCTATCAGCTGCCTTAGGGCTGTGTGTCGCTGACCTCAGATACACATATCACAACAGTATCCGTGCTCAGCAGCACGGTGCAGTGTGAGAACTGCAAAGAACTGCAGGTGACTGGCCTGTGAGGCATTTACTATCTCTGTACAGCATCCAGTACAATGGGGCTGTGACCCCAGCTGGGGCCTCGAGGTGCTATTGTCATGCAAATAGCAATAAACTGGGCAGCCTTCCCAGCTGCTGGATTCCACCAAGACCCCAAACCCCCATCCACTGACCCCGAGGCCAACAGCCTAAGCTTCCTAAATGAGCAGAAAACGATTCAATAGGATCATCGGTGATTTGCTTATTTGCAGCTTTCCTATGGGAATAGCCTTTCAAATACGCAGGAGGTCCAGCTAGCCGCCATGTTTCTGGGGAAAGAAACAACAGAGCCATGGTTAATGATGTTGACATTGTAGAGCTCCGAATTAGGTTTCAAACTTAACACCCCCTTAAGATGAACTGTGAAATTTCACACCTTCAGCTACTGTTTGCGGCTGACAGCAAACTCAGAAATGCCTCCATTCACATCCAGGCTTTCCAGCACCAGTAGGGCTAGGAACTCAGCTTGCAGGCTGATGGGAATGGTTTAGAGGTCATGATGGCTAGATCCCACTTGCTGGCAGTGCCCAGATGGTGTTATCATCTGATGACAGCACAGTAGGTGGCCTGGGTGAAATGAGTTGGTGAGTCTCCATCCAGGTCCCAATGAGCAGGCAGCCACGTCACAGCCACCACAAAGCCGGTAGGCTCCATAGAGAGGGCAAAGGAATGAATGGGCTGCAGGGAAGGACTGAACTCCCCACCTTCTCTCCCTCTGAATCTCGCTGGCAGGGCAGCAGAGAATGCTTGCTGGTTCTACCCCTGTTCTGAGAGCAAGGAGGGGTCTTTAGTCACCAGGGCTTCTCTCACCCCCAGCACTAAATCCACTTTTTAGATCTGTCAGAGAAGAGATGGATCAGGACAAAGTCTGAGGCTGCTTCAGCTCTAAGTTCCTGCTGTCAGTTTCAGAGTGCTCCCTGCATTGGGAAGGGCCTGGTGTGTAGCTGTCATCACGGCAGAGTGTGTGCTGAGAGCTCTCCTAGGAACTGAGTAACCACATTCCTGGGCAGGGGCTGTGAGTTGAGACTGTGTGGCTGCCAATCTGGAATTTCCCAACTATGCAGTGGAACCAAATCTATTTACAAGGATCTAGTGCTCAAAACAACACCACTTCATATTTCCAGAGAGAAGCAGCCAGGCCTTCCACAATAAGAGCCTGTACAGTTCTGGCAGAACTGGGGCTGTGCCTGATGCAAATACCGCAGGACCCTAGGAACATTTGAAATCAAGATCTGGGCTTCACAGCTCAGACCCCTCTAAACAAAACCACATGAAAGTATCAACTCAGCTGATACCATTTACAAACACAATTCTATCTAGCTAAAGTTCTCATCTGACCCCAACTGCCAGAGCATCCAAGCAAGCTTGCAATACTTAATATATTCATCCTCACAACAACCCCTCAGGCGGAACAGTGCTTTTATCCCCATTGTACAGATGGAGAACTGAGGCACAGAGACATTAAGTGACTTACCCAAGGAAGTCTGGGATAGAGCAGGGAATTGAACCCAAGTCTCTCAGGCTAGCACCACAACTGATCTATTCTCATAGAGCAGGAATAGGGCTGTCCTGTATTAGGTGCACACACCCCTCCCACAGTGGGCACTCAGCAGGCTGTTGTTTGGAGCCCACTTCACCAGTCCCTGGGTGCCCTTTAAGCCTCCTGACTGTGAACAGAATCCAGGCACTGCCCCCAGCTGGGGTCTTTAGGCACATTCTTGGGGTGCAGATAGGGTGACCAGACAGCAAATGTGAAAAATTGGGACGGGGGTGGGGGGTAATAGGAGCCTATTCAAGAAAAAGGCCCCAAAATCAGGACTGTCCCTATAAAATCGGGACATCCGGTCACCCTAGGTGCAGATCCTCTGTCTGACAGCTGAACAACCAGATCCGAGCTACCAAGCCCCTGCGACCAGTGCTGACCCAGTAGCTTAAAAACACATCTTTCTTCAGAGTTTGACCTTGTGGGCACTGCAGTTTTACAGTTCCTCTCTTCAGAGGCACATGGAAGCGAAGCAGATACATGGATATTGCATAGGATTCTAAACAACATTACTCTTTACTTAAGTAGCACAAGAAATACGTAGAGCTACACAAAATAATAAAAAAAATCTATATATCTTTCCCTGCCTCAGTTTCCTCACCACCCAGGAGAGTGCTCTGGGCTGTGGCAGGGCCCTCCGAGCAGTCCAGGACCCCCCTGCAGTACACGGCTTCTTTTCTGAATCATGCCATTTCTCTCTTGCTCTGACCTCTATCGTCAGTGCCCTTCCACTCTCCTGCCCAGGCTTTCACTGCTTCTGCTTGTGGTCACTTGTGCTTCTTAAAATGGCTGCTGAGAGACCCTCTAGTCTATAACCATCCACCCCCTTTGTCAAGTGGTGCTCCGTTCAGTCTCAGCAGGTGATCAAAATCCCTCACCAGGTGATCCATTACTTGGTTACCAGCCCAGACTGGTTCTTCTGGGCAGCAGCAGCTCTATGTCCAAGGGTGCTTCTGTTTGAATAGAAGATGATTTAACAACCCTCCAATATTAGACCCAGGCTCCCATACCTTGGAATTTCAGTCCAATATGGAGATGAAAGGACAACAGCATAGGCAGCAAACCATTCAAAATGGAGTTTGCAACCTGCCACAGAGCCATACAGAGTGTTCACAATCTCAGTTGTACGTAGATAGATCCCCACATCATCACATAGGATTTGCTGCTCCAGATCAGAGCAGTGCCTCTACTGATCCATTTACAAAGTGCTCAGTCATGCCAACCACTATATATAGGAGGGAGGGTATTTTTAGTTAGATATATACATCATTGTTCTACTTAGTCCCTCTAAAAAGCTTTCCCGGTCCAATGCATTTCAAGGAAAAGAAAGGCCTTGTCCCTGTTTTTTTCTCCCCAGATGTTCCCATCTGTAGCTTTCTGATGTTGGCAGGTGTATCTCTGGTCCATCTAGTCTGGTTTCATGCCTCTGACAGTGGCCAATACTTGGTCTTTCTGAGGAAAGCTGGAGAAAAAAACAACAACCAATGAACCAAATTAATCCCTGCTGTAACTCTATAGACTTCTACAGGATTACACAGTGATGCATTTGCCTCAATGCACCTGTGCATGTGGAGGACCATGTCTTTCATGACCCCCTTTATTTATGCCCTGAAACATGAGCTTTGAGTGCCCTGAACTTAGACCCAGATCCTCAGACATATTTAGGCTCCTAACTTTCATTGAAATCAATGGAAGTTAGGAGCCTAAATAACTTTGAGGAGTCTTTTTAACTCCCTGCCACAGCATTTGACTCAATGACCTCCTGCCGCAGTGAGTTGCACACACCACCCAGGGTATGGAGGGCTTCTTTATATCTCCTGCCATTAGTTTCTGTGAGTGACTCTCTTGTGACTCTCTCTCATTACTGCTTAACTCCAGGTCCTTTTCTCCTACGTGCCCATATTCACCCCCAGGTCTCCCTGTGGTACCTTGCTTAGGTGAAGCCAGCCATTTTGCTCTTAGCCTATGACCATCAGCCAGGCTGTTGCTCTTCATTTGACCAGAAGACAGGAATAAAGTTCTCCCTGAAAGAATCGGACAACTTCTTTGCCCCCAGATAAAGTAACAACAGTTCTGTAGTTTTCTTAAACAAGTTAGATTTCTAAAATCAAGTTAGGTGGCCGAGGAAACAGAGACCGAAAGCAGATTCGCTCACTGAGCCAAATGCAATCTCCTAGACAAGACTTATAGGAACTGATTGCTTGACAAGAGCAAATCAGACCAGAGGACCGTATTGTCTAGTACCCCATCTCTGACAATAGTGAGCCCTAGTGGAAGGGCAAGAAACTGCCAGAGGGAATTATGATATAATCTCTCTTTAGGGAAGTCTCCTCCTAACCCTAGAGATTGGCTTAAGCCTCGATGCAGGAGGCTTTGTGTCCCATCCAGAATCTATTTACTATTATAACTCACATTGACATCAATGGGAGAAAGACTGAGCCACAGAACTTTAAAAGTAAGACTCGTCCCCATAGAAAGGGATCTGTGAGAGCATTATACTTAGTTGTTAATGTACAGTGCATGCTGTCTCCCCAAACATGGCTGAAAGCTGCCGTCTCACAGTCCCCTCGCCCCCCATGCATGTGGTAGCTCCTGGAAGGAACGTGCCCCTCTAAAGAGAACTTGGCTTAGTTAGCGCTAAGTTCTCTTTGAAGATCTGGATAATGTATAAGGGCCAGCTTGATGGAATATTCATATCTATTCTGCCTTCAAACACATCCCTTCCTGATACTGCCATCTCCTTAGGACTAGCTGCAGTCCCACCTCACACACACACTCCACTCCTCCTTAGTGCAGGGGCTGCCAACATCAGACATTTCAAAATGCTAGCCTGCTGGCAGGGAGTAGCCGCAGGACTCTGTTTAGCTAGCTCACCTGCAACTGTCAGCATGCTGCCATGTGGCCAGTGTCTTCAGCAGCTGCTTGTTTATAGCCTAGACAGTATTAATCTCTCATTGATTTTCAGTAGGAATTTTCCTGAATGAGGGCCAGAGGATGTAGGAGCTACTCGGGATGTAGGTGTCCCATCTTTACAACTCAGGTGATGGCCTTTGATAAAGAAGAAGGTAAATTCTACCCTGCCTGACACCCGCAGGTCCAGGAAGTAGCAGCTGCAGTAATACCTAGCTCTAACCTAGCACTCTCCCGCCATAGATTTCAAGGCACTTTACAAAGGAGATTGGTAGCATTACCCCCATTTCAGAGATGGGGAAATTGCAGCACTGAGAGATTAAGTGACTTGCCCAAGGCCAGTGACAAATCCAAGCATGGAACTGAGGCTTCCTGCAGCCTGGCCAGAAGCTTTCTGCAGCTCCTCAGTCACATCCCCCAATGTGGTAAATGCATGTAACAATCACACCTCAGTCCTGCGCCTCCTCCACATCTTGGCTGGATGAAATCCACCACATCTGTGGGACTCTGGGAATGGAATGCTGGAACAATGCACACACTTCTTCCCCTGTATGAGAGGCATGGCCACCCTCACCTATGGAAACACATCTGCTCCCAGCCCGGTGAATAACGTGTTTTACAGCTACTTTTCACTCCATACGGGTGACATAAGGCTGGTCATCCCAGAGGAAATAACTCACTAGCTCTTTCCCAGCCTGCAGACAGATGCTCACTTTGCTGAGTTAGCTGCACCTGTTCATGGTCAATAAACAATAAGTTGGCCCTTCTTGCTTGTGGTTCTTCTTTGATAAGCTCTATATATACTTCCAGCTGTATGTGCCTCCCTAAGAGATCAGGGATCTCAAGAGGTCTCAAATTGCTCAGTGGTGGAATTTGAGCAGTTGGCGTGAACAGTTCATGCCCTGGAAGGCCATGAAGAGAGATCCAATCAGAGAAGCAGGGAGGCACCTCAGAACTGAGCAAACACAATGACTAGACCCCCTTCTTCCACTCAGAGGGGATGATCTCTTCACACTGGACAACATGAGGAAGTTCAGAACTGAATGAACATGGCACCTGGTTTCCCTGCTCACTGCAAGAGAGGGCGATCCTTAGGCTCCGCATCAGGGTTGGGAGATCCATTGTCAGAGGAAGGCAAAACTCAGTTCTCAGCATTTCATGCAAACTTCCACCCCTAACACCCTCTATGCGCGGATCTCAAAGCACTATACAAACACTAGGCATTCTCAACTCAGCTGGCCAATCAGGAGAAACTGTCACAAAGTGGTTATGTCATATGTAACCTATAAGATGGCACAGGTTAAGAAATAATTAGCCTAGATATAGAGGAGTATAGGAAATTAAAGTTGCTAGTGTGAAAAAATTAGAGATAAATTGGAGATACAGTGTTATGGCAAAGTAAGAGTTAGCAAGGCTCTGACCCGGGGTTATGTTACTGTTATGTTAAGGTTATAACTGGTTTGAGCAGGATTATTAAGATTTGTGAATGTTTTATTAACATGCTATCTATATTTATAGTATGGGAAGGGCACTGGTGCAGATGTTAATTGAAATACATGTAATGTAAAGAGCTATTAAAAAGGGGCAGAAATATAATTATAGTAAAGTGTAGTTTAATATTAATTAGTATTATAATAGGTCAGAAAAAGAGTAGGTTTGCTAAATTGAGGAGCACTCCAATTAATACCCAAAGGGATCCATTAGGTTCCAGGGTAATAAGGCTGTACTTCACTCTGTTGTCAGTGGACTGAGCACTCCTTGATACGCTATTTCATCATTGAGTGTCAGTGGTAATTGCATGCCCATCTGCTTACCCAATCACTCTACTAAACACATTTTGTGTAACTGACATAGAGGCTTGAACCTGGGGTTTTATGCATCCTTGTCTTTAACAACTCAATACTGATTGGGAACATTTCAACCTAAAGGTTACCATGGGCCAAAGAGCACACCCAATGTTGACCAATAGATGGTCTTGTGGTTAGGGCCAGAGGTGGATTAAGATGTACTGGGGCCCTGGTCACAAAGAGCAGTTGAGCCTCCCACACCTTGGGGGCTCAGAGGTGCTGGAACTGGGGGAGGGCAGGGGGGCCAAGCCTCCCCACTTTTTAACATGGGAGTATTGACCTCAGGCTGGTGAGAAGTGGCGGTGCCGGCAAGGGCTGCCCTTTGTGGCAGTGGAGCTGATATGATGATCAGCTTCCCCGCCACGAAGCGCAGACCCTGCTAGCAGCACATTCGCCGTGGTGCCCCACCCATGCTCCTCTTCTCCCCCCAAGGCCCCACACCCTGGCCAGGCTGGAAGCTGGAGCTCCCCACAGCGGCACGGGCTCCCTGGGTGGCTCTTACCACAGCCCTGCTCTGGCTTCGGGCCTGGCCAGGGGGCAGGGCCTCAGGGGGGAAACAGGGGGAGAGGAGGAGGAGGGGGCAGAGCCCTGGGGGAAAGAGGAGGAGCAGGGGGCGGGGCCACAATTCTGGCACCAGTGGCCCCCCCCCCACTAGTTCTGGGGCCTCCAAATTGGCCAGGGCCCCTGGGCACGGGCCCCATGGGCTCGTGCATTAATCCGCCACTGGTTAGAGCCCCGCATGGACTGCACTCTACCACACAAGCCTTGTGGGACCGTGGGACAGTCACTTCAGCCCAGCTCCTCAGAGGTATTTAGGCACTTACCTCTCATTTAAATCAACGGAAGTTCAGCTCCTAAGTAATTCTGAGGGTCTGGGCCTTAATCTCTCTGCATCTCAATTCTCCACTTGTAGACTGGAGAATAATACTCATTCCTTTCTCCCACACATTGTCTGCCCTGCCTCTTTAGATCAGAAACTTTTAGAGCAAGGCTTGTCTCTTACTATGTGCATGTACCATGCGTAGCACACTGGGTCCTGCTCAGACGTTACTTTAATGTCAATATAGGGTTGCTCAGCATCCAGTTTTTGACGGGAACACCCAGTCGAAAAGAGACCCTGCCAGCTCCGCTCAGCACCGCTTACCAGGCCATTAAAAGTCTGGTTGACAGCGCAGCAGGGCTGAGGCAGGCTCCCTGCATGCCCTGGCTCCATGTGGTTCCTTGAAGTGGCCAGCATATCCTCTGGCTCCTAAGCAGAGGCGCAGCCATGGGGGCACCGCACATTACCCTCCGCCCTGAGTGCTGGCTCCGCAGCTCCCATTGGCTGGGAACCATGGCCAATGAAAGCTGCGGGGGCGATGCCCATGGATGAGGGCAGCACGTAGAGCCATCTGGCCTCCCCTCCACCTAGGAGCTGGAGGGAAATGCCGGCCACTTCCAGGAGCTGCCTGAAGGAAGCAACACCCGGCACCTGCACCCTGAACCCCCTCCTGCACCCTAACCCCCTGCTCCAGGTTGGAACCCCCTCCAGCACCCTAACTGTCTCCCATATCTCACACCCCACACACCCCCACACCCAGCCCCCTGCCCCAGCCCTGAGCTCCCTCCCACACCCAAACTCCCTCCCAGAGACTGCACCCCCTCCCATACTTTGAACCCCTCAGCCCCAGCCCGACACCAGAGCCTACACCCCCAGCTAGAGCTCTCACCCCCCCACACCCTAACACTCTGCCCCAGCCTGGAGCTTCCCCCAGCACCCTGAATCCCTCATTTCTGGCCCCACCCCAGAGCCCACACCCCCAGCCCAGAGCCCGTACCCCCTCCCACACCTTATCCAGCTGCCCCAGCCCGGAGCCCCCTCCCACACTCTGAACCCCTAATTTCTGGCCCCACCCCAGAGCCCTCACTCTCTCCTGCACCCCAACCCCCTGTCCAGCCCGTGAAAATGAGCAAGACTGGGGGAGAGCGAGCAATGGAGGGAGGGGGGATGGAGCGAGCTGACGCAGGACTGCAGAGAAGGGATATGGCAGGGGTGGGGCCTCGGGAGGGTGCAGGGCAGGGGTGTTCGGTTTTCTGCAACCAGAAAGTTGACAACCCTATGTCAATAACTGTTCTTGAAAGGCCCAGATTCTCATGCCTTTCTGGACCATGCGTGAGACATAAATCTATCCTTGTACACGATTCAGCTAGGCCCATCCCTTCGTCAGGGATGGGCTGAACGGCGTGGGGGAATCTCAGGTTCAGAGAGGCAACAGCCCAGGACCCAGGAGACCCAGATCAGAATGAAGGGGGTGGGGGCTTAGCCCTGCAGATCACAAATCACCAGCCTCAATGCTTGTGTTTATGGGTAGGGCAGGTGGCTGAGGGAAGGGCCATGTCCACATGCCCAGGCCCACCAGAACATTCAAACAGAAGCTAGGATTGCATGAGATCAGGAGAAAACCAGAGAGCGTTTTTGTACAGGTTGTTGTGGGTGCCCGGGTGGACGTGACAGTGTGACAGGGACTTGTGGTGGTGACTGCAGCTCCTGTTGCATGGCTGCTTTCAAATAAAGGTAGCTGCCTGCTTGTGACAAGGGAAATGCCAGGAGGCAGGAGTGCTGCCTAGCCCCTGAAGAGCACAGCTGTATCAGCTCCGGGCCAGAGGTTAAATAGCTAATGAAAGAGCCCTGGTTACAGACTGCCGTCTGGGAATACCGGACACAATAGGCGACTCAGCAACGAACTAGGGGGGCGCGGGAGGGGGATTACACTCTGACAATGGAGGTTTACGGACCCCAGTGGGCGTCACCACATAGCAGCGGGGCTAGTGTTTACTTGGGGAGCCTGGGCAAATGTTCTTCCAGGGGGACACAGTACTACAGTCTGAAATAAAACATCTGCAGGAGGAACCTAAAACCGGAGCAGCAGCCAGCTTGTCCAGCACCTCATCACTAATGGAGCTCCTCTTCCTTCAGATTAAATGGAGCAAACCCAGTGGGTTCCACCTGGCCAATTGCGGGGCCCCAGAAAAATGGGCACCCCTGCGCCCCAACCCACTCTGCCTGCCCGGCGCTCCTACTGGGGAGCAGAGTCAGGGTGCAGGGGCTTGTCCCACTCTGCCTGGCCAGTGCTCCTGCCAGGGAACGGGGGAAGCGCCCACACCCCGACCCCGCTCCCCGGCAAGAGCGCCAGGCAGGCAGAGTGGGGCAAGTCCCTGTGTCCTGACCCCATTTCCCCAGCAGGAATGCAGGGGAGAGGGAGGGGGACTGCAGGCGGAAGGGGTGGGGAGGGGCCCCCAGTTGCTCTGGCCCAGGGTCCCACAAAACTATAATCCGCCTCTGGGAGAGTGGGGGGATTTTTGTTACAAATACTCTGGTCAGCACTAAGCAAGGCCTCACCAGCTCCTCCTGTGACACGGAGTAGCACAGAGACAGGCGGACCCATTGAAAAAAATCAGTTTGATGTAGAAACTCTTCTCTGTCTTAGACATGGTGTGGCCCAAAGGATCTCCCAGAAGTCAATGAGATCACAGGAAGAGGGACTTTTCTCTGGGCATCACTGCCTCATGCCTAGTGTGTACAGATCATTTCAGAGCCACTATAGCTCCAGGACCTGTCAGCATTTGCATTAAAAAAGGGCTGTACCTCAGCCATGTTCATTTGCTTTGAGGAGCGACTTGGCCCAGAAGGCAGCATTAGTCCTGTCACATCCCTCTCCCACCTCAGGTTTAATAGAGACATGCTTAGGAACTTGGGGAGGGATGGAGGGGCATAACCCTGAGCCATGGGGCTCGTTCGTGGGGCAGCATTATCAAGTTGATTGAAGTTGAACACAGGACACTCATTCATAAGCTTCTGGCATTTAACCCCACTCTGCCACTGCCTTTGTACTGTGACCTTCAGCAAGTCACTTCGGGTATGGCTATGCTGCAATGAGATACCCACAGCTGGCCCATGCCAGCTGACCCGGGCTCACGAGGCTCAGGCTCCAGGGCTGTTTAATTGCAATGTAGATGTTCAGGCTTGGGCTGAAGCCTGAGCTCTGGGACCCTCCCACCTCACAGGGTCCTAGAACCCAGGCTCCAACCTGAGCCCAAATGTCTACACACTACAATTAAAAGCCCCTTAGGCCAAGTCCCATGAGCATGAGTCAGTCATCACGGGCCAGCTGCAGGTGTCTAATTGCAGTGTAGACATACCTTTAAGCTCTCTTAGTTTCAGCTTCCCCATCAGTAAAATGAGGCTAATGTACACCTCTGTTATATGAGGTCTCATTTGTAAAAAGTAATGTTTGAGGATGTAAGTATATGCATGTTAAGTGTGATCTTTTCATAGCTTTTAAATTATTTAGTATTTTACATTGGCTGTAGTATGCAATTGTGAAATGAAAATACTGTGATTAACTACCCACTATGTATATGTGCTTCTGCCATCTAGTGGATGGAATCAGAACTTCTCAATGATATATCATAGGCCCTATACTGCTTAGAGAAACTCACCTTCAGCACAAGTGGTAGAGGGCTTGTGGTTTTGGAGCAGGAGGTCTGAATTCTCTCCTTGCCATCACAGTGAAGGAAGGAGCAGCTGCTGTGATAACCTTAAAGTGGTAGGTTGTCACAACCTGTTGCAAAATATACCTGCTTGAAGACAAACAACAGTATTGATATAGACAATGTTTTCATCAGGCACATGAGCTAAACCAGTAGTACTCACTAAGGTTTGGCCAACAAGCCAATTATCCCAAGGGGCACTGCCAAGGGCTGTATCAGTGGTATCCTTGTCTGAGGCTGCTAAATAATTCCTCTCTTAAACAAGTCTGAACCCAAATCCCATCCCCTAAAACTTGGGAAATGCTTTGCTCTGAATCCAAGCTTTGCAGCTCTGGCTGTTCTTAGCTGGGTGCAGGTTACCTAAACTGTCAAGCCCTATTAATAGAAGGAGGGGAAGGGTGGTCTAGTCTAGTGGATAGGATCCTGGGACTAGGAGACTTAAGTTCAGCTTCTGGCTCAGCTGTACACTTCCTTTGTGACCTTAAGCAAATAATTTAATCCACCCTAATCCCCATTTCCCCATTGATCAAACAGTGGTTAGATAACACATCCCACTCTCACAGGGCTGTTGTGAGGATAAAATTCTTTAATGATTGTGAGGTGCTCAGATTCTATGGGGATGTGGGCCATATATAAACCCAGACAAATGAACGTGAAATGGGTTTTACACACTGAAGGAAACCTTGATCAGATCCATCCACTGAACAGATCTTACCCAACAAACATGCCAACTTCTGGGCTGACAGTCACTGTGACTGGTGCGGTGTCTCTGGCATACCTCGGTATTTAATTTAATTTAATTTAACACTAATTTAACAACAGTATCCTTCTGTGTGCATCTCTCCTCTGGCTCCTTTCTACTCACAAGCTTTCCCCCAGGACTTGTTCCACCTTAAACTTCTTCTGCTTCTGGTTTATTATCAGACAAGAGCATAATAATGGACCATGCCACCGCTTTCAGATTGGACTCATTTTCTATGGATTCCAACAGATTGACTTCTTTCAGTATCATTTCATGGCCTGAGGGCTCTGAATCCAGATTTCAGCCTCCTTTTCCCTACCCCAACCCCCCTTCCCTTTCTTTCTTTCTTCCATCCAAATTTACAATCCCTCATTTCCATTTTGCTCCACCCTCTCCCTAGAGACTTTGTTCTCTTGCCTGTATCATTGCATTGAAATTGTTCCATGTTTATTTCAAACATTTTGGCGGGCTATCACTCCAATGGAAATTTAATTAATTGCAGGGCTTGTGGACCTGGGACAATAGCGTCTGAAAAAAATAAAATCATTAGGAACTGCTTTTGCAAAAAAAAAAAAAAAAAGAAAGAAAGACAGAAAGGAGTTTTATGCTATGCTGATGAACAGGCTAATAACAGCAACAACTGGGTAATGGGGAATGCATTCCCTGTATGTTTTCAGAGCTCTTAACAAACCTGTAATGCAATTCTATTGCATTGCTACAGACAAAAAAAGGGTTGGCTCAGATACACAGTGGGCCAAATTCTGAAGTTCTAAGTCAGGCGAAAATCCTGTTACAAAGTTAGATGATCAAATTATAAGAACCTTTCTTAAGATTGTACACAGCTCCATTGGCTTCATGCTCTGAATAAGGATGAAGTAAAAACTGAGCAGGGACATCAAATTTGGCCCTTTATGCATAATTTGATATTACTTAACTTATATTGTAAATACCATTTATAATTCAAACAACCTGCATCCTGATTAGATCTACCCAAACTGGCATTTCCTGTTTAGCTCACCTCAAAACCACAGATTTGACAATCACATTTTCCAAGATAAATATTAGTCCTAGGGAGGTCAGATCCTATGTGCAAAAGGCTCATTGAGTCCGTGTATTATTCATGTTGTGTATATGTGTAATAGAAAGGGGTTTGTTTACAAGTTGTGTTCATGTATATTTTACCATTTAATCAATCAGCAGTATATATATATTTCCACAAACCGTTCTCAAAAATTAAACATCCTCCTTCCCTCAAATCACTGTGCACACCAGCAGCTGTCTGTGTGCTGAACTCCTCGCATCTGGACAACAATCACTTCAAATCAGCTTTTTCATTCTTTTTTTTCTATTTCATTATATTTTCCTCAAATTCTAGTTGTTGATGGGAAAGGGAGCCCACGCCTCATTCTTCTCTCGGCTCCGATTGGCTGAAAGTTTCCGAGCCCTGCTCCGATTGGAGAATCACAAATCATCTCCCTCCCCCCCGTCCCCCGCGCATTCACCCCTTAGTCCATCGTAGTTGAATTTGACCAGCAATCTGTGGACACCTTAGTCAATTTCACTATAAGCCTCTTGGTCACTTTCATCTCCACTGCTTTCCCCCGACTCTGAATCACAGCATCACTCCGGACTAGCAGGAGGAAGGAGGGAAATCCTGCTTTGCATCCTGACAACTTTTGCGGCGGAGGCCTGGGGAGATGGATGGCGGAGACATGCAGGCGTTAATTCCCCACGCACATTCCAGCATGGTGTCTGTTGGGGAAGGAGGCTCTACACTAGGCTCTGGCATTTGATTCCTCCTCCTTCTGCTTTCTTGGGAGACGAGATCTCAGAGAAGATGCCTTTGGTGCTGTGGGCTCTTTGCCTTGGTGTCCTGGATACGGTCCTTTGCAGTTACTCGGAAGACCAGTGCAGCTGGAGGGGGAGGTACGGACTTCGGTCCTCAATTAAAAATAAGTAACCATTGGCAAGGATCGCCAGAGATCGCACAGTGCTAAATGGGCCCTATGGTGGGAAACTATCTGCTTTGTCCAGAAACTCAGATAACTTTCTGTTAATAATGCAGCCTCAGATCTTCCAGCCCCATTGTCTTCAGTGGGAGTTTGGATGGGTATTAATGAATAAAAGGCTGGTGCAGCAGAGTTTAGGGTGTCACTCTAAGAAAGGAGCTGGTGGATGGGGTAGTGCATGTTCTGGCTGAGCTGCTATAAGTATCAAGAGAGGGGGCCTGATTTTGTTCTCACTTATCCTGGTGTCAATCGGGAGTAAACCCACTGAAGTCAATGGTGTAAAGGAGAGGAGCTTTTAACCAGAAGTTTGCATTTTTCTTACTAACCTGTGCCCAGGGAAATATTGAATTTCCAACTTTATGTTTGAGAAAAGGAAAATTCCAATTCTTGTGGCTGCCATTTTTAGTCAATTGCGTTTAACTTTCACAGAGCCTCTGGGGAAAATAGATTGCTTTCCCCTAAGGAGGTGATGGTTTGGGTTCTGTCCCCCATCCCCTGATTGCTATCAGAGGGGGAAAGTATCTCCCTCAAAGCTAGCTAGATGAAAGCTTACAAGGTTTTAACTTAAATCCAGTCTGAGAGAACAACATCCATCCTCCCAAACCGTGTCTCTGTGAGGGGCAGCATCTTGTGTCCTCCGGCAGAAGTTATGGTCTCTGCACCACATAAACCCTCCTGCTGGCTACCCCAGCTTCTCTGTGCTGCGTAGTGGTGGATTTTACTTGGTGTGCTGATCGTTTTATTGCATCCTTGGGCTGCAGGCTTCTCATTGTTTCTTTGCAAGGTGGAGGTGGGGAGAAAGGAGTAAAGAACTGAAAGTGCTGGAGTTTGTTTACTTTTTCTCATTTTTATGGCATGTCCCCTTGGAAGATCAAAGCTGCCCCCTAGAATTAAACAGTGATCTTACTCCCTGCAGTGTTACAGGGACAAGTGAGAGTTACAGACCTCTGCCACTTGCAGTTTCTTGATTCCCTGTCCTCTCCAACCTGTTTTGCACTTCATAATAATATCAATAGTGAACAATAAAATCAGATGCAGCAGTAGCTGATCCTTTCCAAATACACCATGCTGCCTGCTTTCATAGGAAAATAACTCAAGTGAAAGCCTCAAAATAAAAAGCCTCTGATCAGCCTGCTTTAATACATGAGCCAAATTGCTCTTTGACATGATTTTGTTGGGAGGTTGCAGAACTCCCATGCCAAGGAGCCATTTAAAACCACAAACATTGTTCAGAGCTGAGAGCAAAGCAAGGTTTGTCAAGCAGTTACTATAAGAGCCCTGGGGCTTGGAACACCTTTTCATTGTGTGGGTACAGTGCCTATAGGATGACCAGACAGCAAATGTGAAAAATCGGGACAGGGGGTGGAGGGTAATAGGAGCCTATATAAGAAAACGACCCAAAAATCGGGACTGTCCCTATAAATTCGGGATGTCTGTCACCCTAAGTGCCTAGGACAGTGGGGCCTGACTGAGGCCTCCAAGCCATGCTGAAGTACCAACATGGAAGGAGGCTGGATTGCCATCTGTCTTGGATGGTTTAGACACAACAAATCCTGTATCTTGGTAGGGGGTTAGACTATCTGACCCTTGCGGTCCCTTTGAAACCTATGGTTCTATAATCTATATGATGAGAGACAACCTAACTGCTGTGAAAATGCCTTTGCAGATAGGAGAGCTAGACGTACAGATGGCAGCACCATGGGCACTTTAAAAAACATCCTCAAGATAGTTCAGTGGCAGCATCTGTTTCTCAGTGTTTTTGCCTATGTGCAATTCTACAGATGAGTTAACTACAAAGGAGCAAAAACAGGTCAAGTGACTGTCACTGGTTCAGTTTGGATTAAAGACCTATGTCCTTCCACCTCCTGCTGAGATTTTTGCTTGCTTACCAGTGCGATAGTGCAAAGAATGGAGAAGTATTCATATTGTTACACTCTTACTGTTCCAAAAGCTTTGGAACTACTTTGGAAAAGTTTGGCTGTTGTTTTTACAGCAGAGATTTAACAGAATCAGTAGCCCTCAAAAGGTTTCCAAATAAATGACTTGGTCCCTCTTTTGGATCATATGTGAATATCTAGTGAATGACTGAACTAGTTTTTTCTGCCAGGCTGTAACTGTGTGGATTTCACTGTTTGTTATGGGGCCTGGCTGCAGATTCACAATTTTGGGGGACCAACCTGGGCAGATATTTCTCTCCCTCCTTTCCCTGGTCAAAGACTCAACTTGTATTACAATAGAACACTGGGGAAGACTTGCTGGCTGGTAGACTGCAAGCCCTACTAGCTTAATGTATGCACTTTCTCAAACTACTCAGAGTTGGGCTGGGTCAGTCCTTGGAGGGAGACCCCACTTAAAAAAACCTAAAAGATTATTCTTCTTTCTTAAGCCTCTTAGCACCTTTGAGATAAGACAGCAAACCAAGATCCCAGCCATTTGTTCTCATTAATGATTCCCTGGCATTCTTTGTCAGCATTAAGTGTGTACGGACCAAATTCCAAAGACGGTAATTAGTGTTTGCCTTCCAAAATCTTACCTATAGTTTAAATCAGATACAGCTACAGTTTTCTGCACTTCAACTAACAGCACACAGTAACACTACAGCTTAGCAACTGCTGTGTTTCATATCAAAGGTATTTCAATACAGGTGTGAAGTGCTCCTTATATATCCCTGCCTGCTTTGAGTTCTTTGGGTGGAAAGAACTATAGAACAACACAGTAGTTTTATTATATTTTTTTTGTTTAAAAAACAAAGAAACAGGAGGTAGAATGGATAGGGCACTAAACTGTGACTGGTTCTATTCCTGTCTCTGCTACTTTGCAAGTCATATCCCTGCTCTGTGCCTTGGTTTCCCCTCAAATCCTTTGCCTGTCTTCTCTACTGCAAGCACTTTGGGGCAGAGACTGTATCTTGCTATGTGTTTGCTATAACGGTCCCAGCTGGGTGCCCTATACATTAGTGCATGCTGCCTCTCAGAGCCTCCATTCTGTTTGCACATATGGGATTCTAATGTATCTTCATTTGCATTACAGATAAAATATGGTGTTGTGGGTCAGGAACGTGATTAGGAGCTGAGCTGCCTAGGTTGTGCTACAGGCTCATGGTGTGACCTTGCACAAGTCTCTCTGTGGCTCACTTTACCCATCTGATCCACCTCATTGTGGGGGAAAGGGGACCGATGATTAATTGCTTGATTGCTTATCCTTAGCTAAAAAGGGCTATCAAACATCAAAGGAGAGATACAATCCTGGAGCCTTAAAATTCTGCCTTCCCTGCAGGGGAATGTCACTGAAGGACACCGAGATCCTGTACCAAACGGTTGTTCCAGGCAGGGGCGGCTCTATGTATTTTGCCGCCCCAAGCACGGCAGTCAGGCAGCCTTCAGCGGCATGCCTGTGGGAGGTCCACCGGTCCCGCGCCTTCAGCGTACCCACCGCCAAATTGCCGCCGAAACTGCCCTCACGGCGACCGGCAGGCCGCCCCCCCGCGGCTTGCCGCTCCAGGCACGCGCTTGATGCGCTGGTGCCTGGAGCCGCCCCTGGTTCCAGGCCTGCAGGGAGGGGCTAGGTTAAGGCTCCAGGAGAGGCTATAAATTCTAAACATTAGCATGGAGAAAAGTGGAGGCCATAGGCCATCCTCCAGCAAGGGGGACTCCCCCCTGCACTCTCTGTTGTTTATTCTGTGCACACTCCGCGTGCCTAGAGATGTATACAAGGCAGCAGCATAGTAGAGCAGCAGGATTACTTTGCCCAGAGCAAGCATCTTCAGGCCTGCTGCTCAACTAAGTTTACTCTGAATGGCCTCAAATCTCTTCTTGCACAACAGGTGAGAGCAGAAGGAAAGCAGAATAAATCCCATCTCGGATTCAGGAGAAAGCTGGGCTTTAATTTGTAAAAGACAACAGGAGGGCGCAGGGGCAAGCTACTCCCAGAGCCCCCACAACCTGCCCCCCCCGAGAGCTCCCTCTGATGGACACCTCTTAGGACAGCTGTATGGGGCTCCAGCCTTCTCTGTCGCTTCTCAGCCAAACCCCTCGGGTTCACCTTTGAGTAAGGAGAATACTATACATTGCCATTTATTCTGGAAGGAAAGGCTTGCTGACCAGGGCCCCATGCAGACTCCCTGTACCGAGCTCCTGTCCTTTCAGTTAGGAAAGCAAAAGCCAGGAGACAACAAAAACTCCCGAGTGGTGTGTGAGGCCTGGGATATGCAGAGGATCAGACTAGATCTGGTGGCCACTTCCGGCCCCAAACTCAATGATTATGACAAAACCTTAGGCCAACAATGTCACAGAGACCAGTGATTTGTAGGTACTCTCTAGAGGCACCTTGAACGAGGAGGTGCTGAGCATCCACAAGTGAAATCTCTACAAGCTGCTGGGGCCCAGTAGCTCAGACAATAAGGTGCAAGATATTAGCCCCCCGCTCCCCCCCAAAAAAACCTGAGGGCCTCCCCTCACAATCAGAGGCCAGGCTTGAAAATTCTGGCTATGGGAGGGAGGAGTTTGGTAGTGGCCAGGCAGCCAAAAAGAGGAGAGGTCTTAGGAAAAGAGGAGCTGCATGTCCATCTCTTGGGAGGATCAGGCATAATTTGGATAAAGAAGAGCATGAGACGTCCAGGCCTGGAGCCTGGTATGCCATGTATTCAAGCTTAGCGGTGTCTTTGGTTGGGAGATGCTGATATAATAGGCATTCCAAACCCATTGGAATAGGAGCAGCTTCATTTCCTGGAGCCTTTGCGCCTCATAATGCTGCATCTTGGCAGGGGGTTAGACTAGCTGATTCTTGCAGTCCCTTCTAACCTAGGATTCTATGATTGTCATGCTGCTTCTGCAGCGAGGTAGAGAAAGGGGCCCCCAGCTCTGCGTTTGCATCTGAACTTCACCAAAGCATCAGGGTGTCCGGAGCCAAGGTCTGGGTTCAGCACCCAGAGAAAAATGGGGAACAGCTAAGAAGTTTGGAAGGGGGGGTGGATTTGGGGATCCAAGGTCTGACTCAGGTCCATCTCCACCTGGAACAGGTGATTTCCAAGCTGGTTGCATAGTAATTGAGCAGGCTGCTCCACGAGGAAGGAGCAAGTAGGCATGAAGCCAGCCCAGAACTGGAGGAGGAAGACAAGAGGAGAGTGTTCAGCCTGACTCTTTGTTACAAGCCATGCTCCCACATTCTCGCTCCGTCATGGAGTGCCCCAGTCACTAAGACCCAGATCCTGCAAGGGAGTTAAACGCTTAACTCCCACTCAAATCAATGGGATGTAAGCACCTAACTTAAATACCTTGGAGGATCAGGGCCTAGTCCTACTCCCAAGGCTCTTGGGCAAGTGGGGTCAGTGCTGGTAGCTGTGGCCATTGGATGCTAGTTTAATCTGCTGCATGGTGGGGTCATTGGGAGCTGAAGTGCCCCGGGAGCATGCTGGGATAGAGAGCCTTGTGCCAAAGGGCTAATACAGTGGTTCTCAACCCATGCGGCTGGGGTCCGGGGTCCAGGTTGGGGTCCGGGCTGCCGCTGCCCTGCCACCTGGCCCCTGCGGCCCAGCTAACACATTGTGGGCCACATATGTGGGCTAGCACTATGGTAACATTAGTTTGTTCTCTCCTTGCAGTGGCCTGTCCCAGGAATCAGGCAGCGTGGAGCAGATCTCTCTACACTGTGCTGAGGGCTCACTGGAGTGGCTGTATCCAGCTGGGGCTTTACGCCTCAGCCTCTCCCCCCGCCTCCCCACGAGCACTGCAGCCAAATGGAAGAGCCCCAGACAGGTCACCACCTGTATCAAGCCCTCCAGCACTTTCCGAGGAGCTCAGATCTATCTGGAGAGGAATGGGATCCTGGAGCTGCTGCTGTCTGAGGCAGATGCATCCCTCCGCCCCAGGGTGCATTGCTTCAGCTGGCTGCCCCAGGAGAAAGTAGCACTGTTCCTTCAGTCTACCCTGCACCAGGACATCAGCCGTCGGATCGCTTCCTTCCGCTATGAGCTGCGGGGAGACTGGAACTCACGCCTCTCACTGCCCTCCAGCAACTTCAGCATGGAAGGTAAATAGCTAGTGGCATGGCTCCACAGGGTGCAAATGTAACACTGACAGACCCTGGTCATCTGCGGGCGGGATCGAACCTAGGACCTCTGGAGCTAAATGCATGAGCCTCTACTGCATGCGCTAAAAGCCATATAACTGTTAGCTAAGTCTGTAAAGAAGACTCATTAATCTCTCTCTCTAAGTGGCCTCTAGAGGGAACAGAACACTCCACCCAGGAGGTGTGTGGGTTACACCACGACTATTAACCAATTTCGCTGCTAATCCGTATTGCCCTCCTGTCCTGTTCTGTGACTTTGCCAGGCTCCTCCCTCACTGGGCAAGGATAATGAGATCCACCACAGCAGTGCCCTCCTGACACAAGCTGCTGCTCCAGCAGGATAAGATTCCTTACTGCATTGTTCTACCAGGGCCAGCTGAAAATCTAGGCTTGTGCACATCCTTTTAGAGAGGGAGGCTTGCTGGAGCAGGGCACAAGGACCCAGGACTCCTGGGTTCTATTCCTGATTCTGACACTGACTCACTGTGTAACCTTGGGCAAATTGCTTCACCTCTTTGTACTTCAGCTTCCCTCTCTGTAAAATCAGGGTACCACTGCTGACGTACCTTACAGGATAATTAGTTAATAACAGGCCAGTCCTCAAGGCCTTACTTAGTTTGTGCTCAGGCAAAATTCTCCTTGATTATTGAAGACAATGGGAAGTTTTGCATGAGTCAGGTGCCGGGATTGGGCCCATTATTGACAGCGATAGCAGGGCCCTGAGCCACATGGCTGTTACACAGTAGGCGCTCTTTGGTCAGTGGGAATCTTCTTGGGTTTCTTGCAGCTCCAGGCTGCAAAGAGGCACAAGCTGCAGGAGGTTCCAGCCACTGGATGCTAAAGGACCCGCATCATGTGGGCCTCCTGTCGGGGACAGGGAGAGGACAGTAACCCAAGCTGGCCTCTCTGCCTGAGCATGTTCAGAGAGCGAAGCCAGGAGCCAGAGGAGGATCGCAAAGCAGCTCCTATAGGCATGTTTAATCGGCACTATCTCCCCTCATGGCTGAGCTAACAAAAGTCCACTGTGGGGCCCGCGAGAGACATCCTTGCCATTCAGCCACCCCAGAGATAAGGGGCTCTCCTGGTCACCATGGCAACCCAGGCATTCCCCCCACCGGAACCGCAAGGGCTGCACTCTCGCAGCACCCTGGGAACCCTAAACATGGGATTAGTGTGACTGTTTTTTCAGGAGAGGGGATTTGGAAAGAAGTAGCCTGGCCCTGCAGCAATGGTTCTCTTCCACCTCTTCACCTTCCCAGCCATAGGAACAGCCTCCGATGGCAGCAGAGCTGGCCCCTGGTCAGGGAAAGAGCACAAAGATCTGGAAGCTGTGGGCTGGGTGCATTAGCAGTATGTTGCCACAGAGCTAGCAACAGGCCAAGCATAACCTTCCCTGCCTGGGGAGCTAGTCTGTCCTAGTCAGGTTCATCACCCTATGTAAAGGTACCATAACACTAACACCTGCCACAAGGGCTTGTCTGGGAACCTCGAGCCTAGATACAACCTGAGCCTGTCTGTATAAGAGGACAGAAACCGACTGTTGAATCCCAGGCACCTTGAACACTGGGAAAGTTCTCCTCCCGCTCTGGGTTCTCAGCCCTAAAGCTCAGCAGTGTTTGAACCAGGGAGGGACATGCATGTCGTAGGGTCATCCAGACCAAGGGAAACTTGGGCTCAAGCCAAATCCCTGGCTCCATCTCTAGCCTCACAGAAGGGGAGCATGTCATTGCCTTCCTCCACCGCCAGCTGTAAGTCACTGTGTATTTCCGATTATTAAAGAATACTGGGGTTGGGGTAGAGGAAACATTTCCCCTTGGTGAGAAATAGCATTCATGGTCCTGTTCAGAATGTCCCAAGAATGGCTGGAGCTGCCCCTCTCCCATCATGGCTGTCACCAGTTCAGTTTCAAAGGGACTGGTTTGAGGTTAACAGATGATTAATGCTGCTATGGAGCACATTTGGCTCTTACCTCCCAGTTTGTACAGGTAGTTTCTTCAGTAGAAGAGCCTCCTCCTCAAAGGGCACATGGTGGTCCCGTGAGTGTGCTCTGAGTCAGGGACTCTGTATTCTGTTCCCAGGGCAAGTCATTGAACTGCTCGGTTTCCCGCTCTCTGCACTGGGGATGCCAACAATGAACTACCATGCAGGGGAGGGGCAAGGCTACATGAATTGCTGTTTGTAAAGCACTGACACATTGGGGGAAGGATAAACTGTACTGGGAGGAAGGCTTAACACAGCACGCTGAGAGTCGGTTCAATTCCTGGCTCTGCCACAGACTCCTTGGCTGACCTTGGGCAAGTCATTTAAGCAGGGCCGCCCAGAGGATTCAGGGGGCCTGGGGTCTTTGGCGGCGGGGTCCTGGGGTGGAAGGACCCCCCGCTGCCAAATTGCAGCTGAAGACCTGGAGCGGAAGAAGCTCCGGGGGCCCGGGCCCTGCAAGAGTTTTCCGGGGCCCCTGGAGCGAGTGAAGGACCCCACTCCAGGGGCCCCAAAAAACTCTCGTGGGGGCCCCTGCGGGGCCTGGGGCAAATTGCCCCACTTGCCCCCCCCCCGCCCCCGGGCAGCCCTGCATTTAAGCACTTTGTTCCCCAGCTGTAAAGCAAGGGTGGTCATGCTTGCTTTCTCCCTCTCCTTATCGATCCTGTCTGTTCAGCCTGTAACTTCTTTAGGCCAGGGCTGTCTCTTGCTATGCGTACATACAGCACCTAGCAGAATGAGGGGTCTGTGAACATAAGAACGGCCATACTGGGTCAGACCAAAGGTCCATCTAGCCCAGTATCCTGTCTTCCGACAGTGCCAGGTGCCCCAAAGGGAATGGACAGAACAGTTAATCACCAAGTGATCCATCCCCCGTCGTCCATTCCCAGCTTCTGGCAAACAGAGGCTAGGGACACCATCCCTGGCCCATACTGGCTAATAGGCATTGATGGACCTATCCTCCAGGAATTTATCTAGTTCTTTTTTGAACCCTGTTATAGTCTTAGCCTTCACAATATCCTCTGGCAAGGAGTTCCATGGGTTTACTGTGCATTGTGTGAAAAAATACTTCTTTTTGTTTTAAATCTGAGGCCTATTAATTTCATTTGGTGACCCCCTAGTTCTTGTGTTATGAGAAGAAGTAAATAACCCTTACTTTCTCCACACCAGCCATGATTGTATAGACCTCTATCCTACCCCCCCTTAGTCGTCTCTTTTCCAAGCTGAAAAGTCCCAGTCTTATTAATCTCTCCTCATATGGCAGCAGTTCCATATCCCTAATCATTTTTGTTGCTCTTTTCTGAACTTTTTCCTATTACAATATATCTTTTTTGAGCTAGGGCGACCATATCTGCATGCAGTATTCAAGATATGGGCGTACCATGGATTTATATAGAGGCAATATAATATTTTCTGTCTTATTATCTATTCCATTCTTAATAATTCCCAACATTCTGTTCACTTTTTTGACTGCTGCTGCACATTGAGTGGATGTTTTCAGAGAAGTATCCACAACTCTCTTTCTTGAGTGGTAAAAGCTAATTTAGACCCCATCATTTTATATGTATGGTTGGGATTATGTTTTCCGATGTGCATTACTTTGCTTTTATTAACATTGAATTTCATCTGCCATTTTGTTGCCCAGTCACCCAGTTTTGTGAGATCTTTTTGTAGCTCTTCGCAGTGTGTTTGGGACTTAACTATCTTGAGTAGTTTTGTATCATCTGCAAATTTTGCCACCTCACTGTTTACCCCTTTTTCCAGATCATTTATGAATATGTTGAATAGGACTGGTCCCAGCACAGACCCCTGGGGGACACCACTATTTACCTCTCTCCATTCTGAAAACTGACCATTTATTCCTACCCTTTGTTTCCTATCTTTTAACCAGTTACCAATCCATGAGAGCACCTTCCCTCTCATCCCATGACAACTTACTTTGCTTAAGAGCCTTTGGTGAGAGCCCTTGCCAAAGGCTTTCTGAAAATCTAAGTACACTATATCCACTGGATCCCCCTAATCCACATGCTTGTTAACCCCCTCAAAGAATTCTAGTAGATTGGTGAGGCATGATTTCCCTTTACAAAAAAACATGTTGACTCTTCCCCAACCAGTTATGTTCATCCATGTGTCTGACCATTTTATTCTTTACTATAGTTTCAACCAGTTTGCCTGGTACTGAAGTGAGGTTTACCAGCCTGTAATTGCCAGGATCACCTCTGGAGCCCTTTTTAAAAATTGGCACCATATTAGCTATCCTCCAGTCATTTGGTACAGAAGCTGGTTTAAATGATAGTAGTTCTGCAATTTCACATTTGAGTTCCTTCAGAACTCTTGGGTGAATATCATCTGGGCCTGGTGACTTATTACTGTTTAGTTTAGCAATTTGTTCCAAAACCTCCTCTAATGACACCTCAATCTGGGACAGATGCTCAGATTTGTCACCTAAAAAGAATGGCTCAGGTTTAGGAATCTCCCTCACATCCTCAGCCATGCAAAGAATTCATTTCGTTTCTCCGTAATGGCCTTATCGTCCTTGAGTGCTTCTTTAGCATCTCGATCGTCCAATGCCCCACTGGTTGTTTAGCAGGCTTCACTGTGACCCAAGGACCACTTGATGCTAACTGACAGAGGTTGCAGAGGGGACGCATAATAATACTACTAGAAATTGGAGATCAGGCAGGACCAAAACTCATGTGTGTGTGGACCGCCCAGCCTGCAACTCAGGTGTACACAGCTTGGAACATCACCAGACAGCCCTTACAGGAAAGATACTACAGTACTGTAGGATGATGGAGCAGAACACATCAGCCTATGAGTGTGTTTTTGGGAGGGCACCATGCCACAGAAATGAAGCAAGTGTACGAAGTTTTCCATGGGGAACATGATACACAAAAGCTGTGTGGTCTAGTGACTTGAATTTAGGGCTAATAGTCAAGAATTTGTGAGCTCAGTTCTTGCACTCTGCTGCCAATTCACTGTGTTGCTTTGGGCAAGTCACTTTACTTCTGTTTGCTGCCAAATGGAATAATGCTTCCCTGGGTCCTTGGGAAGGGAGATGCGAAGATAAATTAATGCTTGAGAAATATGAATGCTAAATATGATTCCTCTTTTGGCCAAGTAGTGTGTGGCCCAAGCAGGGTTAGCCCATGAGATCCAGGGCCGCCCAGAGGGTGGGGGGGGCAAGTAGGGCAATTTGCCCCAGGCCCCGCAGGGGCCCCGCGAGCCCTGGCCGAGAATCCCTTCCCTGGCTACTCACCCGGCAGTGGTCCGGGTCTTTGGCTGCACTTCGGCGGCGGGCCCTTCAGTGCTGCCAAAGACGCGGCGCGAGTGAAGGACCCGCCACCGCCGCTGACTCAGAGCGCCACCCGGTGAGTACAAGCACCGCAGCGGGTGGTGCCTTTTTTTATGTCCACTCCCCCGCTTTGCCCCAGGCCCCCTGAATCCTCTGGGAGGCCCTGATGAGATCTGGCAAAGCTCAGAGAGGGTTATGAACAGCAGTTAGTCCAGTTGCACCTGCCCATCCTCATGGCCTCAGCCCAGGGGGCAGCCTGGCTCAAACAGATGTGCACCCCAACTTAAGGATTTCTTTCAGTCTCTGCTCCAGAGTGTGAACTCCAGGGGTGGAGGGGTGGGCAGTGGTGTCTTGACTTGTTTTTCTGGTTCCGGGGGCTAGTGCACCAATTCTGAAATGTGTTTTCTCTGGTCTCTTAACTCCTTATGCCGGGGTGGGCAAACTTTTTGGCCCGAGGGCCACATCTGCGTGGGGAAATTGCTTGTAGGGCCATGAGTGTATGGCTGGGGCAGGGGCTTGGGGTGCGGGAGGGAGTGCGGGGTGTGGGAAGGGGTGCGGTGTGCAGGAAGGGGCTCAGGGCAAGAAGTTGGGACAGAAGAGGGGTACGAGGTGTACGAGGGGGCTCAGGGAAGGGGGTTGGGGTGAAGGAGGGGGTGCACAGTGCGGGGTGGGCTCAGGGTAGTGGTGCAGGGAGGGGTGCAGAGTGCAGGAGGGGGCTCAGGGCAGGGGTTTGGAATGCAGGAGAGGTGCAGGGTGAGGCAGGGTGCTCAGAGCACGGGGTTGGGGTGCAGGCGGGGGGGCTCAGGGCAGGGAGTTGGGGTGCAGGAGGGGTTCGGGGTGCTGGCTCCGGCCCAGCGCCGCTTACCTGGAGCGGCTCCAGGGTGGCAGTGGCATGCAGTGGCCCTGGCCCTGACCCCGCACTGCTCCGGCCCCTGGGGCGGGTTGGGGGCAGAGGACTCCACATGCTGCCCTTGC